GTTACTGTTTCTACCACTATGGCAATAGCAGGCCAACAGTGATCACTTATCTCCTACATTAAAGTAGTTTTAAAAATTGCATAGCCCTTGATTACCTACTTGCTGAAGAGGGAGGCATTCGTGTGATAATAAATATGACCTGTTGCACATGGATAAATTCCTCCAATTACATAATATTAGGGGAATAAGCACATTGGCCACAAAAAATTCCACTTGGTGATCTATGGTCCTTTGATCTCTTTAACAGGTTTGGGGTTCTGGTTTAGGACTATAATACAAGCTAGGGTCACTGTTCTGATCATCTATTTTGTGTAAACATTGTTAAAACTTTGTACCTGTTGCCTGTTGAAACTTTGTAGAAACAAAGTACCCAATACAGTGATGCTGACGCCCTGCTTCAAGATGGTCTCCAATACTTACAATTTTGATAAGTTGTAGACCTTAAATGGGAAATGTCAGAAAGCTCTCCCTCCCCACCCTTGCTTGTTATCCAAATATGGCCTCAGTGTCTTCCAGTCTGTATACTTTCCCTCCAGCATGGAATATGACATCCAGAAAAGGTCCTTCCTGACACCAAAGGACAAAAACGATTCCAATAAGGAATAGATGGATCCAGAGAAAGATCTTTATCAAAAGGGGGAAATATGGAAATGTATTAAGGAAAACCTAACTCAAAATTGGAGCCAGGAGACCAGGAAAGGGTCAATTCTCATGCTCATGTCCCTTGTCACAGCTTGCAAGATCCAGCAAGAGGAAGGAAGATTTCCTCTGCGCTGGCAACAGCAAGCTGCCCTCACCTGCAGCTATGAAGGGCCACCACCACTTCAATTGCCTGTAACCAATGAAAAGCTGCCACCACTTCAAACTCATCTTTCTCCAATGAACTTTTGTTCAAAACAGCCCCTCCTAACTTCCTCCTTTTCTCTATGAAGAGGCACTTTTTTCCTTTGTTTTCTGGACTTGTCTATGGTTTGCCACAGTTTGCTTGTCCTGAATTGCAATTCTTCTGCTTTTCCCAAATAAACTAGAATTTTCTGGCTGAATAATTTACCTTACTCTTTTAAAAGATTGACAACATGTAGCGCAATCAGCTCAACTAGAGATGATAAATATGATTCTACCCAAGTTCACCTAATTATAGGAGATTTTAGTAACGTTAAAATGTTCCTGCTAAAAGGAAAGGTGATTTTTTTTTCCACAACACCTTCATCCTTAAAAATGTAGGGGTGCCTGGGGGGCTCAGTTGGTTAAGCATCTGACTTCAGCTCGGTTCATGATCTTGCAGTTCATGGGTGTGAGCCCTGCATCAGGTTCTGTGCCAACAGCAGGGAGTCTGGAGCCTGCTTCATATTCTAGGTCTCCTCCTCTCTCTGCCCCTCCCCCACTTGTGCTCTGTCTCTCTCAAAATAAACATTAAAATTTTTTTCAATGTAATAGGACATTGTGGCACACAATCTCAGTCTTTATTTTCTCTCATTAAAAATCCACCCACCACCAATACATTTTTTGAATATACACATAGGTCTCAGCATTTCATTTGTTATTATATACCAGTTTTCTATGATGTTTAAAAGAAGTAGGCAACTATAGATTATGTTAGGTATTGGCATAAGCACTAATCTACATTTTCTTATTGGTTTGCTATCATGAGAAGTATATAGTCAGGATAAGTAAGCTTTAAAGGATTACTTTTGTTTGGAGGAAAAAATCTCTCTCAAATAAGACATAATAATGGATAGGATTAAGAAAACTCTATTAGCACCTGCAGTAACTATCTCAAGAGAATCTTCAGCCTTAGACTAGACATCCTCTGAGAATGGGGACAGGCCATTCTTTCCTTTGCTTGTGAAGAGTTCCCCTTGGAATTCTTTGTGAGGGGAGAGGAGAGCACTATCATGCATGCCATGTATTTCCATAGGAAGCAAAAAACAATTGCAGACTTGCTCTTCTACCTTCCTGGAGACTGTAGGCTGGACTACACCCAGATAACAATAAATACATAAATAAATGCCTATGATGAGGTGACAGCTGGTCTCTGCAGCAGAAATGCATAATCACTGGTGTAAAGTTCAAGTGTAGGTATTCCAAGAACAGGATTAAAGTCTGTTTTCAGTTAGGAACCTCGTATAAAAGTATGCTCCATCTGTGTTTACTATATGCAGCTGCACCTCTCTCCAAGGGCTTAATGAACTTTTTCTTCTTTGTGAACACTGACTTACACTCAAATGTAACAACCTTGAGTAATTATCAGGAGCAAAACACTTGTGTGAGACAACATAGGCCAATATATGTGTGCTCTTCCCCCATTCATTGATGGTACTACATACTTTATATTCACGTACCCAGCTATTTAATCAGATTCCAGAAAATAAATCTAAACTGTGAAATGAGAAACAGCTAAAAGAAAAAAAATAGAAGTAACTTTTTCCAACTATTCTGATCATATCTCATTATGTTCATGTATTAAAATTTAGGCAATAGTCTAAATATACTTGAATTTCACATTTAATGAGATCAGTTCAATTTGGCATTTAACAATCACTGTAAAATTTTTCATTTTGATTTAATTCAGTTACAACCAATATAGTTTTCAAACTGACCTCATTACTGGTGGAATACATTTACACAAATATATAATGTACCAGCAATATCGGTCAACTCTGAACATGAAAAGTTCTTTGCATGCTATTAACTTTGCTTGTTCATTTTCTGTTCACTCCCACAAAAATTACTCGTATTGGCACCAACTTTTCCTATCTAACAGAGAAGTAGTGTTATTTAAAAATAAGTAAGTTCCAGGTAGATGTTATAATACTGTTAAGTATATTTTATGAATTTTAGTTACAGAATCACCTCAAAATTTTCTCTACTAAAAGCTGTTACAATAAATGTCAAAGTCAAATGCAGTTTTTCCTTTGAATTTTAAAGAGAATTAACCAGAGGAGAATTACAACTCCTATGAAAATCCACGTTCCATAAAATGGAGACTCACCTGCAAAAAATCCTCAATTCAAAATCCTAAATCTGTATTTTTTCAAGTGGTTAAATAACTAAGTCTAGTTTATTATATAATAATGAAATGATTTTAATGAAATAGCATACCATTCATATACAGTTCATAATCACCCATATTTTTATTAAATACTGATTTAACCAAATTAATGTCTGCAGAGTGTACATAGCCTTTCCCCCTAGATGATCTAATATCATTATTAAAACTTAAAAATAGGAATTGTGACAGAATTAATCCTTCCCTAGTATCTAAATAATGTTTTATTTTTATAATTAACAATGTTAAAATAAGTTCCCTACCTAAGTTCAAGTTCTAATCAAACACCAGCTCCAAACTAGAACCTGAAAAAGTTAACAGTGAATATATAAACATACTTGTGCTTAGAAATAATAGAAGTATGTGCTCGCTTCGGCAGCACATATACTAGAAATAATAGAAGTGTATGCTTATGGTTGATATTCCTGGATGAAAACTCCATTTTTAAAAATTTGCCTTTAAGCATTATATTTTCATACATTCTCCTTCAATGGTTTTGTGGATCATTTTTCGGACAATATGAAAGAGTTGACTTCTACTTATCATAGTTTAACTTCAAAAACTTGCCATATAATGTAGACTTTATTGTCATAAATTTTGGCTGTGGGGGGGAAAATCATGGCTCACCTTTCCATTTCCTCCGCTAACACAACAGAAGGAATTATCCAATCTCAAAAAGTATCCTTGCTTTGACCTAAACCACTAGTCTCATTAGCTTTAGGGAGCCCATGGGTAAATTGGCTACTCCTCACCCACTTAGGGATTCTGGCAGCTCTCAGCTTCTCACAAGGGTTGTTGTTTTGTTTATGCCCAGGACTATATGTTCCAGTCCACTTAATCTTTTGGCTTGTTACTTTGTACTCCAACTCATAACCACAAGTTCTGGTTTCCTCCCCCATGGTTCCCCCAGTGCTACAGTCTTTATATTATAGGAAGTCCTGGGTTCACCTTCTGGCTTCTATGCCTCTGTATATTTTCCTACATAGCACATAACCTTGAAAACACTATCTGGTTTCTTTCTAAATGAGCAACTCTCATATGGCACTTTAAAAATATCTTAAAACCTTAATATCTCTCAGTAAGCCATGTACCTATCATATTCCTGGTGGTTCCTGTTCTCTTAGAAGATCCTTTGGTTTCTTCAGCTTAGACCTCCCATTAATGGTACCCATTCGTTATGCATAATCAGAAACTGATATCTGTGTGACATTTCTTCCTACTTTGGCCTTCATAACACTCTACCGGTCTTTTCATCCACTGGTGTATTTGACATCTAAAATAAAAACTGTCTTAAGGAACAGCAGGGAGGTCCAGGTGGCCTAGTGATTCTTACTTTACGGCAAACCTATGGATCAACAGCTCACTTGAAATGGAGGTAAATTGTACACTTGTAAGTCAGGAGAACAATTAACACCAATAGAATCACCTGGAGAGTCTTTTGAAAAATAGCAATACTGGTTTCTCATTCCAGACTAATTGTATTCAAGACTCTCGAGTGGGGCCCACACTTTGATATTTTCTAAAAGCTTACAGTTGTCAGATTTAGCAAATGAAAACATAGGTGCCCAGTTAAATTTAACTTTGTGGAAAGTGAATTCTGTTGCCCCATTCAAGACTCCTCTTTTAGATTTGGTTAACTTTGGTTTAATCCACCACACTTCAGTAGTATGTGTTGCAGACATGCTGGGATTTGACAACAGAGAAGTAAACAAGATATTGTCCCTATCCTCAAAAGAACACTCCAGAAGTGAAATAAAATCTTCCCTACTTGAAACTATATTTCACTAAATAAGAAATAAGTTTTAAAAAATATTTACCTAAATAGTAATTGATCCTGTCGACATTTCTGTTCATAAGAAAAGTCCATTTGGAGCAACACTTACAGGAAAATGACTCTTTAAATAGAGTTATCAAAAGTACATTCTTTTTTTTTTTTTTTTTTTATTTCTAGGAGAGAGAAACAGCGTGAGCAGGGGAGGGTCAGAGAGAGAGGAAGGCACAGAATCTGAAACAGGCTCCAGGCTCTGAGCTGGCAGTCAGCACAGAGCCCGACGCGGGGCTCGAACCCACGAACTGCGAGATCATGACCTAAGCGAAAGTCGGAAAGTCGGACGCTTAACCGACTAAGCCACCCAGGCGCCCCAAAAGTACATTCTTAAAAATAAACTTTTAAACACTGGGTTAATGCTCCCCTCATCTATAGGTTTTTCTAACACTGAAAGGCAATTCCAGTGTTAAATGATGCCTCCCTCCTACAGGCTACTTTCAGCTTTGGTGCTGTTAGAAGTTCTCAAGCCATGTGGTTCCTTAGAAGATTTGAAGCACATTTTTTAGTATTTTTTTAAATTGGTGTTTAAAATGTTGAACAGAATGAAATCAAGGGACAAAGGGCTGAGTATTTTATAATAGTATCACAGCTGGTATCTTACAGCATAACGAATAATTTGTTACTAACAATGTCCTAGGTATGGAAATCTGTAAGCCTTTTATTTTTCAAATCAGAGTAGTAAGTTTATTCTCATATCTTGCATTAACTCATCTCCAGGTGTTGATGTAATTAACCACAACATCATCCACTTTACATGCCTCTGAATTTTTCACAAGACATGGTAAGAAACTCAATTGCAGGAATTTACCTAAATCATGGCATTTCCATACCAGCTAGTCTAGTAACCCAGGAGAAAAACGAATAAAACGAGTTTTGCATGACATTTTCTTGATGAATGCAAGTTACAGGTTTTCGTTAGTGTTTTGATATGTTAGCAAACCCCTGCTTTCACCCCCAGATGGTACTATATACCAAATATTCTTTGCTACAAGTTACTCCCAAATGTTCTCTTCCATATGTCTCAGTAAAGATGAAATAAAATGAGAGGGGAGAGACTCTTTTTATTTTCAAACTGCATTTTAGTATGATGCAGAAAGAAAGTTTTCTGGTTGTCATGCATGAGATTTTCTGTGGGGGATCAGCCCCATGGAATGAACATAACTGGGTATATAAGCTTTACTAGGGTGATACTCTCTGAGAAGCTATGAGGTGCAAAGATGCTTTGGAATGGCATTTGAGACAGGCATTCAACACGTAACATTATCCACTAATTAAAAACATTTTTAAAGTAATGCGTGAAGTTGAATATCTTTGGTTTAAAAAAAATAAGGCAAAATTTAAGGCATATAATGTTAAAGTAGGCTCGGAAGATTTTGTTACAGAGAGCAAGATACCAACATACTGTTTCTCACAGTAACTAATGCTCTTCCGTCAAAACATAGTATCCTTGATAAAAAGTGCTTCTGGGGATGCCTGGGTGGTTCAGTCCTTTGGGCGTCCAACTTCAGCTCAGGTCATGATCTCACGATCTGTGGGTTTGGCCCCTCATCAAGTTCTGTGCTGACAGACAGCTCAGAGCCTGGAGACTGCTTCATATTCTGTATCTCCCTCTCTCTGCCCCTCCCCCGCTCACATGTCTGTCTCTCTCTCTCTCAAAAGTAAATAAACGTTAAAAAAAATTTAAGGTGCTTCTGTGCCAATATAATACCAACATAAATAATAAAAGTAAAGATTATATATTATGAACAGAAATAAGTATCAGAATACATATCAGAATCGGCCATTATGAAGTAAGCTTTTCCATCTTTTTTTAGTTTCTTTTAAATGTTTATTTATTTTTAAGAAAGCGAGACAGAGCGTAAGTGGAGGAGGGATAGAATCTGAAGCAAGCCCTAGGCTCTGAACTGTCAGCAGAAGGCCCAATGTGGGGCTCAAATTCACAAACGGTGAGATCATGAACGGAGCTGAAGTTGGATGCATAACCATATGAGCCACCCAGATACCCTGCATCTTTTCTTTTAAAGCAGAAGAGGGACTGCTGTTAACTGATTTAAAAAAACCATCACCATATTCACATCTAAGACTTACCGTAATCTAAAACCAGCAAGCACTGATACTACTTTCCCTGTAACAACAGCTTCATCATGTTCTGGGGCTCATATTCATCAGAGGCCACCTGAGCTGATGGATGACCTCTGTGGAGAGAAGCCATAAGTCTCAGCTGGTCCCCTTTTGTCTATCAATGGTGTTCACCTGCTGTGTTCATAAGTACTCATGCGCTCTCTCTGACACGTAGGTCGCATCGGTCTCAAGCTGACAAATTCCAGAAGAGGGACCTTTTATGCATAGGCTTGCATATTTGCAGATAGCCTCATGAGCTCTGCCCAGACCTGGGTGTCTACTTCAGGCCATTTAAAATCCAGTAGGAAGCCACCAGTTATTCAAAGAATATCATCAGTGATATAAAGCAACAACAACAAAAGCCTAGAATATTCATCAGTCTATGACATTCATATTTTGAGAAGTTGATTTTAATGATCATGAATGTCATAAGCAATGGTTTCTAAACTTAATTTAAGCATAATTAACCAAACCTGATTTCTAAGGATTTCAAGGAGTACTACGTGGTACCCACTGAGGTGAAGAGGCCCCACTGAGGTATGCTTGTCTTCACTAAGTCAGATTCCTACTCCCTTCACACCAAGACTTTATGGCAAAAGGGCCAGGTGTAAGCTATTCTGCCGTTGCTCAACAGAGTACCTTGCTTCAAGTCATAAAAAGTCCTGAAGAAAACAAGCTATTCAAATCCATGAAATTTTAACTCCTAGATGAGATCATCTCCATCAAAATTGATTATTGGTCTACAGCCTGGATGCTGGGTTCTAGTCCCATTTCTGTTCACCAACTCTGTGCCCTAAACAAAGCATTTAATGTCTCAAAGACTATGTTTCTCTCTGCCAAATGGGCTTATTTTCTACTAGAGTCAAAGACTACCGTGAGACTAAGATACAGTGACAAATGTGGAAGTGTTTTTCGAAAAAGAAAAGCAACAAAAACACTAACTCAATCTAGTCTTCCTCAAACAGGCATTTTCAAGTGTCTGCACAAACTGTGTTCACTCTGAATCCTCCCTCTGCTGCCAAAGGGGAGGTTTCTGTGTGTCTCTTCATCTAGTCTGTCGCCACTGCTGAAATAGAAGGAGTGTCCATGCATGACCCTGACACTTGGAAGAACACTCTCCTTTTTACATAAGAGTTCGCACAAAGCTGCCACTGGCATTATGTTAGAGAGGGGGAGTTCCTCACCCCAAGAGTCAGGACAAGCTTTAACTGTCAGGAATCCCCTGGGGAGGTCACTAAGGACCAGCACAGCCAGGTGGTGCAGGGTTTCCCAGCCAGTACCTTCTAAAGGTCATATTCCATATTTAGGCCCAAGGATAGGCTTGCAAATGTGCCCTGAGCTACTATTCAATAGAGAATGTTGTGTGTCCTCTTCAAAACACAAGTAAGTCATGGCCACTCCCACCAGAACTCAGAATAAAAAATGATTTTTTTAGTGAAAAGTAATAAAAGCCAAAACCACCACGAGATACCACCCATCAGGATGGCTACTATCAAAAGAAAAAAATGGACAAAAACCATTGGTGAGAATGTGGAGAAATTGGAAACCTTGCACCCTGTTGATAGAAATGTAAAATGGTGCAGCTGCTGTGGAAAATAGTGTAGCAGTTTCTCAAAAAATTAAGCATAGCGTTATTATATGATCCAGCAATTCCTTTTCTGAGTATATACCAAAATAATTAAAAACAAAGACTCAGAGATATTTGTATATTCATGTTCTCAGCCACATTATTCAAAATAGCCAAAAGGTGGAAGCAATTCAAGGATCTATTTACAGATGAATAGATCAAAAAAACATGGTCTATACAGACAATGGAATATTGTTCAGCCTTAAAAAGGAAGGAAATTCTGACAGAGGCTATAACATGGATGAACCTTGAAAATTTGCTCAGTGAAATAAGCCCATCACCAAAGGGCAAATAGTGTATGATTCCATATATGCAAGGTATGTAGAAGAGTCAAATTCATAGAAAGAGAAAATAGATGGGCACCTGGATGGCTCATTGGGTAAGTGTCCAACTTTGATTCAGGTCATGATCTCACAGTTCATGAGTTCAAGCCCCACATCAGGCTCTGTGCTAACAGCTCGAGGCTAGAGCCTGCTTTGGATTCTATGTGTCTCCCTCTCTCTCTGCCCCTCTCCCACTCATGCTCTGTCTGTCTCTGTCTCAAAAATAAATAAGACATTAAAAAAAGAAGAAAGAAATAGAAAATAGAAGGGTGGTTATGGGTAGCGGGGGACTGAAGGACAAGAGAATGGGGAGTTAGTGTTTCATGGGTACAAAGTTTCAGCCTTTCAAGATGAAAAAGTTCTGGAGATGGATAGTGGCACAGCAATGTAAATGGACTTAAAAGCCACAGAGCTGTACCCTTGAAAATGGTTAAGATGGTATATTTTATGTTATACTTTACCATAATTTTTTAAAGTCATAAAAGCTAATATATGTTTTGCTGTTTGGTAATTTTCTGAGGAGAAAGTAGGCTAACAAGACAATTGTGAACAGAGAAAAGGGCTGTGTTAAGGTGTCCTGACTCCATTAGAGGCCTGGGCACAGGAGATTTTCTGCTAAGGGGGAAAGGAGCATATCCTTCAAGGCATCTGAGTCAAAGCTTTCTGCTGAGCTAGTCCTGCTTTAAGCGCTCAGTCTGTAGGTAAAGATCAAAATCACAAATATGTTGTTCTTCTCTGGTTCACCTTTGCAGAGATTCTTGTTCTCTTTCCATTTCTGCAAGAGGTACATGTTTGCACCATATGGAAAATGAAGACGTTTTCCCTGCCAGAGAAGGAGATGAAACGTTTGCACAGTAGAAAAACTCAGAGCATGTGTGAAACTAAAGTCCCTTGGCAGATCTAAGATTAATGGAACCTTTTTTGCACTAGCCAGGAGCCTATGGTTTGTAATGCATGCCCACTGCCCAGGCTCCCAAGACTCCTGCTGCCATGAATTTTAAAGCCCTTCACACTCTGCCCAGAGGTCTCCATCCCCCAGTTCCTTTTCTCAAAAAAACAAAAACAAAATAAAAAAACACTTCC